ACCGCTGCACGTGAAGCCTCCTCCTCTGCAGCTCAGACCCTGGCCAAGCCCCACCAAGGGCATGTTGGGGGGAAATCATGCCAAGTCAAGTTGCTGCTTTACCCCGGCGAGAACTGATGCCGTGGTCTGCCCACGCAGTGCCGGTACTGGATGTGAGCGTGTAGCCACGTAGTCATGTTTAATTCAGCTCCTTTGTGGCCGCAGTCAGGCCTGGTGTCTGGGAGGGCGTTCTGTCCACGCTCGCCCCCAGACACCCCATGGCAGAGTCTGCTTGGGTCACTCCGTTTCCTCGGTGCCTGTAACTAGATTTAACGAAGCAGAGACTCATCATCTCCCAGGTCCCAGCTACTGATGTGCACACTCTGATGTGGTAGCTGGATTGGAGGTTCAAGGGTCTGTCTGCGTGTTATGGTAAACTGCAGTGGGCAGGAGCCAGCACTTCAGGGTACCAGAGCCAGTAACGGCAGGCTCATTACCAACTGGACCTGAAGGGAAGCAGCAGAAGAGGCTTCCGGAAACCCACACAAGAGAGTTGTGTGGAAAGGCTCCTGTGGCAGGAGCGTGAGGTGTGGCGAAGACCCAGCCAGGCTGGGGAGACCCAGAGGGTCTCTTCTGTGTCCTATTTTCCACAGGCAAACCCGGCCAGAAGCCAAGGTCCTGCGTACTGATGGCCCTGCAGTGATCAGTCTGTTGGACCCAGGGCAGAGGGAAGGGCGGAGTGTGGGGAGGCACACTTAGCGTGTCTGGCATGGAAACCAGATGTCGGACTAGAACGAGCGTGTGTTGTCATCTGGAGAAATTATCTTCATTAGGAAGGAAGCATTGATAAGCTGGAGAGACGGCATTCTGGAAGCAGATACAAAGGCTAGGCCACTAGGGTTCTGGACAGGAGAGCTTCCGAAGTCCCAGCTGGGCACTGTCCTTCACCTCGGCTGTCCTTCACCACCTCTTCTCTTGGACATTTGTTGTGGTTTGTTTGTTGGTTTTGTTTGGCCTTCAGCCCCCAGTTACCAGTCAATTTCTACAAAGGATTTCATTTTTCTCTCACTCAGCCATTATTTCTTATATTTGCATTGTAGTTTCCAAACACTCTGCTTTTCGGCCATGCTAGCCTAAAGAGAAATAAAATAAAAAAGGCGGAAGGCATTTGGGAGTTGCTCTGGGATCAGATGCTACCCCGAAGTATTAAAGTCAGAACCTTGTTTTAGCTTTTGCTGGAGGACACGTTTGCTCACCAGAGGGAGACAGAAGGAGGAGGGCAGTACCCAGGCGGAGGGCCATGCTGCGTCCCTTCTCCGTTCTCCTCTCAGGATTTTGGGCACGCGTGCACCCAACATGTTCTCCAAGCCGCCAAGTCTAGAATTACACTGTCACTCAGCCATGTGGACGCTGGCCTCTGTGACCACCACGGCACAGACGTGGCCCAAAGCTGGAAGGTTCTGTAATAACCTAAATGACAGCCACGCTGTGTTCTATTAGGCAGTTTTAGTTCTGCTGATGAGCAGAAGGTTTTAGCTTTGTGAGTAGGCTGGGGAAGCCCATGTCTGAGAGGGCTTGCTGTCCTGTTTCTCCGTCCCAGAGAACACGCTGGAGGCCCACAGGAGACGTGAGCGTTTGACTGACACAGCTTCCGTGGGGATAGGCATCTAGCCTGGGCCCAGGCCGTGCACCAAGAGCAGCCTTCCCCGGGCTCTGTGCTGTTCCCCTTCCCAAGGCGGGTCTGGTCTGTACGTACAGTGCTCGGAGTCGTAACAGGCCGCTCACCAGCTGGCCAGGTTTAGGGTTTAGTGCCCCCAGTCAGGTGACGTCAGCATGGAGGGGCATGCCTGCCTCTGGGACAGCCTGCCGTGGGGAAAGGGATGGTCACGAGAGGTTCATGAGCCCGGGCCGGGCTGGGCAGTTGGGTGGCGGGGCCATGCGTGGGCCGTGTGTGGAGCCTATCCGTGGGAAGTAATCGCTCTATAAATGTTGAAGAAGGTGGAGATCTTTAGAAAGAGTCTGAGAAGAAATGACCCCCCTCCTTTGCCAGCACCAGGAAGTATTTTGGAAGAATTTATAAAAGTTGTAACAATTTAAGAGTAAATATAGAAGGACAAATTAGACTAAGAAGAATTTTTAGGTGAAAGTCGTGTTAAGACAGCCAAGGTGTATTGAGTGAGTGAGGCTGTGAGGTTCAGCAAATGCGAGGTTCTCAGGGTGCCTGATTCGCACGCTTGGGACAACCGTGTCGTGTGCTGTGAGGTGCACAACAAATAAATGTAGATGAGAAATTGTATTTTAAAAATGGACAGAGGCACCACACGCTGCTTTGCCATCTTCCTGAACACACGAACACGTGACCAGCAGCAAATTCCGTCCTGTCCCTCCGCGTGTGGGACCTCCTTGTCCTCTCCTGGCTGGGCTGTCACTTTCTATTTCCCTCTTTTCTCTGTAAAGATCTATTTCTGCTGTTGCATAATAAGAAGTCTTAAACATTATTTTATCTAATTATTATTATTTTAAAATTTGCTCTAGGGTACATGTGCTCGCCAGAGAAAGAGAAAGTGAGAAAGCAAGCTGTCAGGTCTGAGACTCGAACCGTGGTCAGCCATATGGGAGTCCAGTGCCTTAACCACCACTCAATCTGCTGATCCAATACAAAGTTTTGTTGCTTTTTTTAATAAAGAATTATTTTATTTCACTTTATTTATTTTATTTCTTTTAATTTGACTGGAGAGTGAGAGAGAGAGAGAGAGAGAGAGAAAGCCGCCAAGAGGTCCGGGACTCAAACTGTGGTTGGCCATGTGGGCGTCCATTGCCCTTAACCACCACTCCACCTGCTGGCCCTAAAAGGTTGTGGTTTTTTGTTTGTTTTTTAAATGAAGAAAGGAAGGTCTCTCTCTGGCTTCTCTTGCTTGTCCCCCTCCCGTCACTTGCCCCCACTTGTCCCCGCTGTCTGCGGCTGGTCTGCTCGGTCATCACGCCTGCACTCAGGCCCCTCGTTGGAGCTGGCGGTGCGACCTCAGTTTAAAGGAGAGGTGCACTGGGGTCTGACACCCTCCCCTTCTCACAGGACGGGCTGACGCCACTGCACTGTGCCGCCCGCAGCGGGCACGACCCGGTGGTGGAGCTCCTGCTGGAGCGCGGCGCTCCCCTGCTGGCCAGGACGAAGGTGAGTCATCGGGTGAGACCATGATGAGTCGGCCACAGGGTGCGGGAGTCTTTCGATAATCTGTTTTTTAAATGAAAGCATCAGCCAAGCATTTTCTAGTTAGTATTTGTGTGCTAGAAATGAGGAATGTCTATCAGGCTGTTTTAAACGTATTAAAATGAACACATACATGCATTAAGATGTACTGAATGTGTACTTCTAAGTTCTTCCTATATTTTACATGCTGTTCTCACTTTATAAGGTTTATTTACTAGAGAGAGAGAGAGACAAGCAGACTGGCAGCCACCCCAAACAGGTTCCTTCCTTGTACCATGAACCCCATCTCACAGCCTGGGTCGTGTGTGTGTGCCCATGGCTCAAGTGTGCAGACTGGACCTCTCCCCTGCCGGCCCTGCCGTTCTCATTGTGCTCACAACGTCGCCAGCCACGCAATGACATGTCCAACTGAAATGACTTCTCCCAGCAGTAGCCCTGTAGGGATCTGAAGTGATGCTGTTGTGTTTGCAGACCTGAAAGGAACACATAACACGTGGGTGTGGTTCTGTCCTCTGCAGAACGGGCTGTCCCCGCTCCACATGGCTGCGCAGGGGGACCACGTGGAGTGCGTGAAGCACCTGCTACAGCACAAGGCACCGGTCGACGACGTCACCCTCGACTACCTGACGGCGCTCCATGTTGCCGCACACTGCGGGCACTACCGTGTGACCAAACTCCTCCTGGACAAGAGAGCCAACCCAAACGCCAGAGCCCTGGTAAACCCGCCAGTTCGTGTCACCTGGTTACAGACGTCGGCCAGGGCGCCCAGACCAGCTGCGCACGGCCAGAGGAGCAGGGAGCCCTGCCCAGTCCATCACCCACGGCCTGCTGGGCAGTGCGCGGGGAGGGCTCAGGACACCAGCAGTCAGCCCAGGCGCAGACACCAGAGGGTTATGCAGGTCCAAGTGGAAAATAAAATCGAAAAGTAGGAAATTTTAAAATAGATTCTAGATGCCACTAGACAGTCAGAATATGGACGTGAACAAGTCGAAGTTTATTAGTATCTTCTTGGGGAAAAACACCTTGTGAAAATGGCGAATGTATTTGACATGTAAGGTCACGTAAACGTAACCCTGGGAAGAGCCCACGGGGGATGTCTCCGCTGGCCCAACTGCAGACCGCAGGCCAGCAGGGAAGTGCCGCCTGGCATATTGCGGCTGTCGGAAGCATTTGCTGCAGCCGTTCCAGAAACTGCTACGCGAGGCTGTCCCTGAGCAGCTTCTGTGCCTCTCACGGCTTAGCATTGAATGGGTCTGCCTTGCTTCACTTACATTCTAGCAACAATTGTTTGAAGTATTAGGCATGGACTAATTTATGGCTCTTGTTTCCTGATTCTCAAACTAAAAGCAGATTCCTTTTTCTGTATGTTTACATGGTTTGTCATTAAAACTCATCTTCGATCAGTATTTAAGTTGAGAGAATAGCATTAGCATTTTCGAATACTGAAAACTATTTTTATTTCAAAATTTCCATTGGAATTGATTTGCTAATACTTAGCAAGTGAAAATGCTTTCATGATAATGTGCAATTGTGTGAGGATATTTATTATTTCATAGGGAGTTGGAAATCTTAATTTTCCAATTGAATAGTGGTCAATAAGCTTGTAAAATAACACAATCTAATAACTGTAAATATTGTAAGTGCTGAGAGTACAAGTAGCTATTTATCTTATTTTTTCAATAGCTCATAAGCTAGGGAAATAATAAATTTAGTTACGACTATCACTCCGCTAGCTTAAGTAAGACCGGATAACTTGTGCATAAGTACTGGCTGATGGTTCATCCAGACTGGGACAGGCAGCAGCGCTACCTGGCAGGAAAGGCAGAACTTAAAATATCATTGTTTAAATAGAAAGGAGCAAATATAGTATATAACGAAGAAGCATGGTGCTAATTAACCACTTTCTACTTAATTTTCCCAGTTCCTGGATATTAGCCTAGTTTGCAGTTAGAACATGCCTCGTAGACGCCTACCCACAGTCCTTTGCCCCAAGAGGTACCTGTTTCCTGTTATCCCAGAAAATTTTCCATACTTTTCTTAAAAATATTTAGGACCTTAACCATTTCTTTATAAAATAACTTTTTCTGATAACATATGTCATAAAAATTTTAATATAAAGCATAACTTTTGGATATAAATATCATTAACATACAGAATGATTTCTGCTCATTTGAAACACCTCTCTAAGAAAACGGTAGCAAAGCTGAAATACTACAAAGGTAGGCATGCTCGTAGATTTTTTGAAGTGAAATAGATGGACAGTCCTTAACCTTGTCTGAGAAATGGAGGAATGGCCTACATGAGAAAACACACATTTGCCTTTGATCATCAAGTCTTCCCATGACCGGACTGAGTCAGTACACCTCACACGTCTTGGTGCTCGAACGCGCTCTTGCACCCGTGCTCCCTCTGTGAGGTCTTCCCTGTGACCACACACACACAGCTCCACATGGGCTGGCACACATGAGCAAGCCGTGCCTGCCCAGGTTCCCACACCTGCCTGCTCCGAGGAGAGGCACCATCTGGCGATGTGGCATTGCTGCCTGCTGTGGCCAGCATGGGGTTGTGTGAGGAGCGCTCCTGCATGTGTCCGACTAACTCGATTGTCTTTTGCGCAGAACGGCTTTACCCCACTGCACATTGCCTGCAAGAAAAACCGCATCAAAGTCATGGAACTGCTGGTGAAATATGGGGCTTCCATCCAGGCTGTAACAGAGGTAGACAGTCTCAGCTTGTCACGAGACACCCCTCACTCCTCCCTGTCCACCCTTTGCCCACTCTGCCCTCCTCACTCCAGTCGCATTACTGAAGAAGCCCCAGCCCTGGCCGTGCAGAGGAGTACAGCTGCTGTTGCTTTGTTCCGCAGTCTGGGCTCACGCCAATACACGTGGCTGCCTTCATGGGCCACTTGAACATTGTCCTCCTGCTGCTGCAGAACGGAGCCTCTCCAGATGTCACTAACATTGTGAGTACGGGGTTGAGCAGCCCGGGAGCGCGGGCCAGGACGGCAGGCGGGCATGTGCGGACGTGTGTCTGTGTGCCCGTCAGCAGAGAGGGCAGCCAGGCTTTGACAGGGACCCTCACAACAGCACGTAGTGAGAAATTTCTAGAAGTCCACAGAAAGCCTTGATAGGGTGAGAGATGTTTTGAGGATAGAATGGAAGCTGTGGAAGGATGCAGCTGACCTTGGGCAGATGGATTGAATATGCATCCTAAGTGCGTTCATTAAAACAAAATACATTTTAAACACTTCTCCAAAGGTGACCGCATGATTGGCTGAAACACAATCTTCAGAGTGTGCGCTAGCGTATTCTAGGTAAATTTTGTTAAATATCAAGTCAGAGCTATCACTGATTGCACCAGGAAATTAACCACAGATGGATCAGTATTCGGAGCTTTTACTCCATATTAACATCTCTCTCCTTCAATTTCATGGATTTAGTTTGATTTTCAGTTTTGATTTGATTTCGTTTGCTAGAGAGAGGCCTTCCTTACCCGACGTGTGCCCTGGGAGAGGACAGTGTTCCTCCTGCCGAGTACCATGCAGTGGGGGTTCTTCCCAAGTCTGCTGAGACTTCACCTGTAATTACTTCGTGTTCATGGAACGCTCTGCTATTCTCATCACTTAACTCCCATCTAGTCAGGTTCAGGTGAAGCACCTAGTGAGAATTCTCTCCAGTGCTGGAAAACTCCCGTACCCATGCAGCCACTCACTGTTTAAGGAATTTTTGTTAAAGCAAGAATTTTATCATCCAAATTGCATTTCTTTGCTCAGTTATCAATTCTGTTACTTAAAACAGAAATGGCACCCTGAGCTATTCTACAGTAAAGAATTACACAATTGGGGAAAAGAATGCTTTAAATTTGTATACCTTGCTGAAAACTCTTTTCCCCAGGGTCTATACAACACTAATTTGAATGTTGAGGTTCTGAGGAACACACAGTACTAAGCCCCAGGGTGCCGCCTGCAGCACAGCGGCTGTCTGTCCAGTTTCACTCTTTACTCACACTCCGTCTCACATCTGCATCTCTCCCTTTCACGCCTTTCTAAGCTGGAGTTCTAATGCCTGAGCAAAATCCATCATGGAAATAAATTGATTTAATTTTAAAGATTACTTAGTGCTGTCTCTTCATATTATTCAACAACTAGAGCATAAAACAATTAAGAGTTTCAAAGTCTATACTTACAGGTTTCCCTAATTCTAGCCTATTGGTTCTTTTTAAAAAAATATTTAATTTTATTTATTATTAGTATTATTTTTTAAAAATTTGCTATGGGGCATGTGTTCTCACCAGAGAGAGACGAGAGAGAGTGAGAAAGCGAGCTGCCAGGTCTGGGACTCAAACTGTGGTCCACCATGTGAGAGTCCAGCACCGTAACCACTGTGCCACTTGCTGGCTCCTAGTCTGTTGGTTCTAAGATAACAGTATTATGTACTAATCTCTAACTGCTCCTTTAGGCATGAGAGTAACTTCACAATGTGTCAACTCGAGTTTAATTTCTAGTCACTTTTTAGAACTTTAGAAGAAATCATCTTTCTTTTTGTTTATTTCCTGAGAGAGAGAACTCCATAGGGCCCCCCGTCCCCAGATTTGGGTACAAGTGTGACCAGTGTGTTCAGGAAGGTCTCTGGAGGCAAAGTCGGAGCCCTCCCGCTGGCCGTCCTCCCAGGCGTCGTGTCACCCTGCCCTCTCCGCGCCTGCCTCTCGTGCACTCCAGTGCCTGTAGGTCACGGGCCAGGGCACACTGCCCGGTCATGGCAGCCCCTGCAGACACATGGGAAGGGCGTCTGTGGGCGCTTCAGGACCTTCCCTTGGGCTGACCCTTTCTTAGGGAGGATCTTGCGGGATCTTCAGAGAATGACCCACACACAGACCGTGGGTCCACAGCCACTACGCCTTGCTGGAGGACCTGCTTCTTGACTGTCCAGACCCGAGTCTTCCCAAGGCTGTGGAGTTATAATATGCTCCCCTCCACCAAATAGAACATTAATGGAACAGTGAACATTTGACATTCTTTTAGATTTTAGAGATTCCCAAATTTGGCAATTGCGGAATTAAATTTCTAGCCGTTGACCATTCTAAAGCTTTTCATCTCATTTTGTCTGTTCGTTTGCTCATTGACTTCTCGCTCCCTTCTGCCCCTCAGAGAAAGTGTTTGAAAAGCACTAGCCAGCATAAGTAGGCACCACCCCAGCCGATCCCCTAGTTATTTTTTGTTTGTTTTTATTTTTATAAGATGTGTCCGTCGAGTAGCAGATACCTACAGATAAAGTTGTCAGGTAAAACACAGAACTCCCATTTAAATCTCATTTCAGATAAATAATGAATTTTTAAAAGGTAAGTATGGCCAGCCAGTGACATGGTGGTTAAGGTGGCTGGATCCCACATGGCCAATGGCACAGTTCAAGTCCTGGATCCAGTGGCTTGAAAAACACACCAGTGCATGGCCAACCCTGAGAGGGCATCGGAGGGGCAGGAAATGCAGTATGCCACCTGGGGTGATCTCTCCCTGGCGAGCACACACACCCCATAACAGAACTTAGTGTATCTGTGTATTTACAGAAGTATGTACCGTGCCCTCGTTGAGGTCCACTAAGATAATTCATCATTTGTCTGGAATTGGAATTTAACTGGCTGCCCTGTGTTTCATTCGCTAAGTATGGCAATGCTGTTCAGAGGGGTTAACTTTCTCTTGCAGTGGTTTGCTGTGAACTGTGTCTTCTCAGAACATAAGATTTAGCTGCTGGGCCCAGAACTCTTTACTAGTTGACTGAGAAATGGTGTGGACACTGCCTGCCTGCCTGCTGTGTCCGGGTCGGCCACGCCTGACCCCAGAGTACCCACCTTCAAGCCTGTGTGCTGCCTGAAGCCATGCTGTTTTTGAATGCAAGGGCTGTCTGTGTTGCTTCGATGCTTTCTGACTTGGTGTGTCCGAAGCAGAAGTCCATGTAGCTGTCGGCAGAGTGGGTTAACCACCAGGGGAAGGGCGGTGTCTGGTTCCTGCTTTGAACGTGAACATGCACACCCTCCTTATTCTGTCTGAAATTCTGTCCATGAGCTGTGTTCAGTCACATGCAGATAGTCTTATTGGAAACTCCATTCTCAGAAAGCTTGTAAGTGCACTTCGAAACCCCAGGCTGGACTGCCGGTTACCGCACATCCGAATCTGAGGTGTCTACTGACAGCCAGGGAGCACAGAGCCACGCACTGGCTGCCCTCCTCGTGTGCAGTGCAGAGGTGCGGCCTTGCCTTCCCAGTGCAGCCCGAAGGGTCACGGCAAAGTTCTCACTTCCAACCATGTTTAAAATTTCCTCCGTTCCTTAAAGCTAACTAGCTTAACACAGGAAGACAGGCTGTCGAATGAGAGGTGGTCCTCGCAGTCCAGAAGTAACGCACCATCTGACCACTGGCCACTTCCACTCCCGTGGCCACGTGGATGTGTGGGCGTGGTAATACAGAAGGGCAGTGCAGTCCCCAGTGAGCGTTGGTGCCCCAGAGGCATTCGTGCACGTCATGGAGCGGGGATCTCACGCGTGTCTGTTCAGCACTTCGCTGTGAGTGCAGGGCGTAAAACTCTAGGGTAGGCTGGACACCTGAGGTACCGACTTCACATGCATGATGTCCATAAACAGTAACTTAAGTACAAAACGAGGGAACTTTAGCACTAGTCTTAAAATAATTTTAGATTTCAAAAACCCCATATTGATAAACCTTGGCTTGTAAAACACACATGTAAATTCCTCTTGGGGAGGGCCTGCCTGGCCCTCTTTGTCTTGACTTCTTAGGAGCAATTGATTGTTGATTCATTTTTACCCGTGTTAGTAAAATTACTGACCTTCTTATTCAGAGCTAGAAAAAAAGATTGAAGTCTTTCATCTTTATTTTCTTTCTTTTTTTCTTTTGAACAGAAGATCTTAGTCACTTCTATTTAGAGACAGGTTCAAGTGATAGAGAAGAATTAGAAATTCAAAGAGGAAAAAATCTTGCCATACATCTAAAGTCTGAAGACGGGTATTGCTATCTAATAACACATTTTATACAGTAGCCATACACCCCAGATACATTTACTTTAGAAAAGTAGAAATTTGTAATCAAAAAAGGCCATTCGAAGGAAAACAAGCCATCATTAAAGAAAACAAGAGTAGAAAGTCAGTTTAATGCTTTTCTAATCAAGTCACTTGACGTGCGTTTCACATAACATTAAAAAAATGGCCTCTAAATCCTGGGACAAAAGCTGTGAGTGATATACCACGTTTCAGCTCACCTCGAGGTGTCCAGGCTTAACAGTTCGTGTGCGAGCAACCAGAAGCAATTGACTCACTGGAGTTGGTCAAGTGACCCATTACCGCGGCCAGCTTCAAATCCGACTCGGTTGACTTGGAAAGGTTAACTTGACTCGGCTGAAATCAGCCTGTTTTCTGGAGCAGTTGTGGGAATCTGTCTGCAGTAGTTGCTGTCCCAGTATCTTGTTTGATATTTTATTTCCATCAGCAGTTTATCTTAAAACCGTAAAATTACTTGAGTGAATGATACCCTGCCTCTCTAGAACTGCAGATTGTTTTAAAATGTGTTGATCTTTAAAACTCTTCTTAGAAACAGTGATATCCAGCTTCCTGATGAGCAAGTTCTCTCTCACCTACCCTCACCCTCAGGGTGCAGCTTAACCTCCATTTCCTGGTGAGCGCGTCAGACCTTGACGCAGCGGCAAGACACCCCTGACAGGTGCCAGGCCAGTGACGACCTGTCGCTTGTGACACTGTAACAGCTACTTGTCCCCGCGGCACTCTCAAATAACCATCTAGCAGAATGTGTTCACTAATGTGGACTAGGGGAACTCCTGGCAAACAGACAAATCACATGTAAAAATAATAGTTCATCTCAAAAATAATTTTGTAAAAAATGACTTACTATGGTATAAGAATGTGATTTTTTGTAGTATGTTGATTGAGTTTCAAGTTGAAATGGGATGGTGACAGATTTTAGGTTTGTAGGATAAAAAAGAACTTTGTCACGAAATCCAGTGTAAAATAGATCAGGCTGATAATGAAATTAAACCTCAGGGTATCCTGGTGTCTGGGTAAGTTCCTTAGCTTGTCATGGACTGGAAAAGAGAAAAAAAGCATTTTTTTTAGTCACTAAAGATGCAGAAGATATAAAACTATGTTCTCCAGGCTAAGTACGTGCACTTTCCTTAGTCCGTAAGCCCATGGGAGTACTGCTGATGCCACGAGAAGGAGCTTCTCTGGCCTCGCCGTCAGTGCTGTTCGGCTGCAGCGTCACTGACCATTCTACTATCTGTTTCTCGACAGCGTGGGGAGACCGCCCTGCACATGGCTGCACGCGCAGGGCAGGTGGAAGTGGTCCGGTGCCTCCTGAGGAATGGAGCCCTTGTGGACGCCAGAGCTAGGGTAGGTGCAGCCTCCCAGGCCCCCTGCGTCCAGCACACCCTGCACCTGTGGCGGAGGGTGTTCCGCGGTCCCGTGGTTTGGAATGCTCCAGCCTGCAAGGGAAGGGCATTGACTCATCACAGTTCATCAGGCAGAATAGGGACACCATGTAAGACACGCACAAAGAAAAACGCACCCAGTTTCGGAAGTGGCAGTGTTTAAAAGTGCACAGTTTAGCACCTAAGGACTACCATAGTGACTAAGGTTTTAATGTTAACCTAGGGAGCAGCTTTTTCCTACAAGGAGACTTTAAAAAGTTCATGGAAAAAATGGAGTTGATATACAAGTTTATTTTACTGCAAATAAAAGGAAACCCCTGTATAGTCCGTAAAACGCCTTTTCCATGAACTTTTACCCTTGTCTCTATGTTTGGCTTTTAAGTCCTGGCTATATCATACAGTTGCTACACAGATTAAAATGTATCCCTTACCACCAGAGCCAGTCTCATTTCCAGGCTTTCCTTCCTGGCTACTCAGAAACAAATGATGCTGAAGTTTTAATGTCTCCCTGTCTTTCACTTTCCTCCTGTGTATATTGAAATCTAATTTTCTTCCTACTCCGATTTTACATATTTACATATTCTTCATTTTCACAATCCTAAAGAAGAACTTGGGCTCTGAACAGGTCTGGCCCTTGCTCAGACTTGTCCTGTTTCTCAGCTGAGTCTCACAGGGCGAAGGTCGGCCTCCTCCTCGCCTCCTGTTCTCTGTAGATTTCCTTCCCAGCCTCCTTCCTCACCACTCCTCGCACGGGTGCACCACAACGTCCTCAGACACAGCCTGTCTGCCATTGGCTTCGTGCTTGCTCCCTGGGGACGGACACAGCCTCCTCTCTGCCGCTGGATCCCTTTGGGCCCAGCAGCCACACAGAGCCGAGGCTCCGGTAGACCGTGGGGCTGGACGGTGGAGGCGTCTGCCCGAGTTGTACGGATTGTCACGTCACTTCACACCTAAGTCTTCATCACTCAGATGTGAGGGTTGGACTGTGAAACTTTTCAGACTTTCCCAACACCCTCCGGTCAGGAAATCCAGCGGGCGTCAGGAGAGGAGGTACAGCCAGCCCCGTGGTCGTCCTGCTGTCTGGTGGTGCCGGCAGCCTGTGACTCTGCGGTCCCTGTCTACCCGCCCTCCTGTCGCTGCACGAGGGAGCCTTCTGTAGTGGTCGTGTTCCAGAGTGGTGCCCTTTCCCACCCTGGCACTTCTCATGTTTCCTCGGGGTTCTTGGCATTCGGCCATTTAAACCTACTCTGTGGTGACCTGCACTCCCCAGTCCCACGCACTTCGCTGTTTTCACCAGAAATGGTGGGAACATCCCTGGAAATTTTTGTGATCCGTATTTGATAGAAATGTTTCCCATTTCTCTTTTTAAAAATGAAGCCTCTTAATTTATTTTTTGTTATTCACATTTTAATTTATTCTACTTTTAATCGAAATGACTCACTTTCCTCTCTCTCTGACAACATTTCTGTATTGATTTAACCTTTGATTATAGCCTTAGGGCTTTTGGATACCATCTGGACCCTGTCCTTCAACCAGCACTGGCATAGGCTTTGAAATGTTGTAATTAACATTTATTTATTTAAAATGCAGTGTCCATTATTTCCATTTTTTTAAACTCTTCTTATGGAACTTCATTTACCCTAAATGTAAAGCAAACTTCTCTTAATATTTTGTTCCTCCTAGTGTATTAGTTTTTATGTTTCACTTATTTTTTTTCAACTGTACTACCTACCGCGAGATAGAGCTGGAACCCTCCCTGTGGCGCCTACAGCGTCCAGCACAGCCCCGGCCCGGGAGAGCCAGGCCTGTGCCTGCACAGCTGTGACTCCGCGCAGCGCTGCCGCGACCCCGTGGCTGCCGTCTGAGCAGCAGGCTGGCCGTACCTCCTTTCCCTGAGTTTTGTTTGTATTTAAATTTTATCAGATGGCATGTGTGCTGGAAAGAGAGAGAGGGGAGAGGCCACTGCCCGAGAGGGCCGTCGGGCTGCAGTCCCACTCCACTTCCCTCTCGCGGTTTTGGGCACAGTTTCCTGTGGCCTGTGTCCTGTGGCCCCGTGTCTGTCCTTGGGCCTCATTTCTGTCCTGTGGCCCATGTCTGTCCTGTGGCTCGTGTCCAGTGGCCCTGTGTCTGTCCTGTGGCCTGTGTTCTGTGGCCCCGTGTCCAGTGGCCCCATGTCTCTCCTTTGGCCCCTGTGTCTGTCCTGTGGCCCATGTCTTGTGGCCCCATGTCTGTCCTATGGCCCATGTCTGTTCTGTGGCTCGTGTCTGTCCCATGTCCTGTGACCCATGTCTGGCCTGTGGCCTGTGGCCTGTGGCCCCATGTCTGGCCCGATCTTCTGTCTCTCTGTTGACATGGGGCCTCTGTAGTGGACAGTGCCCTTCTTTCTCCCCGCTGGAAAAGCCAGTGATTTCTGATTAGTCACATTCCCTCCTGAGCTGAGGACGGTGACTGGGACTTAGGGAACACGCTTGAGACATGTGGTAGTCTGACACATGGGAAGTGTGGTATCGACTTCCCTAGAGGAGGGGGTTGTTCCCAGAGGCGGTGTGGAGAGAAATGTGGATGCATCTTTGCCCTCGCCTTCCCGGCTCTCAGTGCATGCACACCCATGCACTTTTTAGAGCGTCCTCGCTCAGCCTCGCTCTCCTGGCTCTCGGTGCACACCCATGCACTTCTCGGAGCGTCCTCACTCGGCCTCGCCCTCCCGGCTCTTGGTGCACAGCCATGTACTCCTTGGAGCGTCCTCTCTCGGCCTCACCCTCCTGGCTCTCGGTGCACACCCATTGCACTCCTCGGAGCGTCCTCGCTCAGCCTTGCCCTCCCGGCTCTCGGTGCACACCCATGCACTCCTCGTAGCATCCTCACTCGGCCTCACCCTCCCGGCTCTCGGTGCACACCCATGCACTCCTCGGAGCGTCCTTACTCGGCCTCGCCCTCCCGGCTCTTGGTGCACACCCCCGCACTCCTCG